AAAATCAAAACCTAGTAGTTAAAATACCCTCATAACCAGTAGAAAGACAAAGACAAGAACATCAAGAACATCAAAGTCCATTCTTAGTTGCTAATTTGTTTTTAATTAATAATTTGTTCTTAATTAATAAAAATCAATTTCGATCCAATTTCTTCTTGTATTTGATTAAACATATTTTGAATTTGTCTTTTAAACTTTAATATTAAATAATACTATATTTTTTTGTATAATGTCCTCCTAAATATTGAATAGAGTTGTATAATACCCTCCTAAATATTGAATAGAGATATATTTTTTGTATAACACTCTTATAAATATTGAATAGACACTAGATATTAATATATATATTGGATTTATCTTTTAAACTTTATCATTCATGTCTTTTCTTTTAATGAAAGTTAATACTTTTATAAAATTATGAATTCTAAATATTGTATAAATATTATATATTTGACATATATTTTAGTTCCATCTATATAATCACTAATCTTTTCTTTTTCTTTTCTTGAAATTGGAAAAAAATTGAATTATAAAAAATTGAATTATGAAATGGAAATTAACTTTTAATAAGTTTTATAACTAAATAGTTTATTGGTAATAAAATTTTGTAACTAAATAGTTAATTAGGATAATAATATGTGCACACCCGGATCTCACACCCGGGTGTGCACACTCCCCATGAAAAAAAAAAAAACCCCATAACCACCCGGTCTAATTTTTTTGTTTTTTTATGTGGGGGTGCACACCCGGGTGTGGGATCTGGGTGTGCATCAATCATGATCCAGTTAATTAATGTTAGATTTTGTTAAAAAAAAAATAAAGAAAAATATAGAATAATTTTAATTTTAATTTTAATTTTTTAAAAGCTGGGTTCACCCGACTCAATTCAAAATCCATGTAGGTGGATTATGGGTCAACCTTTTTAACCTGACACTCGAAATAATCCAATCCGAATATCCCAAGATCTGAGATGACCCAATTGGAACCCACCTAATCCGAGCTAGTCTAGTCGGAAATAAAACGTCCCTGGCTAATCCCAATGGGCAAAGCTTCGATCCGCAAGCCACGCGTTGCATTCCATCTGGTGTTTCGCTCCTGTCATGGATTCATGGCCTTGTTCGCAGAGCACTCTCTCTCCTCCACTTCCTTCTCCTTCAACGAATCAACAAGGTATGATCATCATTTCGCGCCATTTTTGAGTTTCATCTATTTGGTTGCTGAGAAAAATGAAAGAAACATGAAACTCAAAGTTAAACATCTTGGGTTCACCTTATTTTTCCAGTTCATGTCAAAAGTTGATTGCTTTGCTGAGACTTGAATGTGGGACCTGAATTCTGATTCCTTGTAGAATCATTTCCGGAAATTTTCTGAGATGGAAAAGTAAGTACAATGATGGCTTTGATGCAATGATAATAAGAAAGCAGAATTCACGATTAATTAAATATAAAAAATAATTTATTTTATTTAATTTAAACAATTGAAAAGAAATAAATTTTAATTAAAAATAACTAAAATAAAAATAACAATAAGAAATAAAGATAATATAAATGTGAGGCAATAAAGTATTTGATTTTATTGTAATCAATTAATATATATTTTAAATTAATATACTTTCAAAACTAATTTGTTAAGTGTTATTCATATAATACCGATTTCTCTTAAAATAGCATAAATTATGTGATATGATAATAGAGTTATCTGTACGTAGTATTAATTATAGGTTTATAATTCAAATTATAATCTCTAAGTACCAAAAAAAATTATATAAAAAAATAAAGTTTAACTTTAATTTTAATAACAAAACAATTAAATTAATACACGTCACATTAATGTTAAAACTTACATAATTTTTTTTTAACAACTAAAAGAGTGTTATAATTACACCTTTCAAAAAATCCTAAAGTTAAAGTTGAATTCTCTCCTTAATTGATGAGATTTGATAATTCAATGTAAACGAAAATCGGGAACATCCTGTAAACTTCCTTTATATAATTGCCAAACAATCAACTGAGTTGAATGAAGCTACTTTATAAAGCAATTCTAGTGGAGCCACTAATATATTATAGGTGCAGTGCAGACCAAGTTACAAAATCAATCCCAGAACAAGTTCATCGTCTACCGTGGAAAAATGAAAAGGGAATTCCTTTGCTCCTGTTAGTGAGAAAGGAGTTGGAAAGGCCGAAATGGACATACTTGTAAGAAAAGCCTTTTTATTTTTTATTTTTTATTTTTTATTTTTAATATTAACCTCTCGGTATCCGGTAATCACATTGAATTTTAACTATTAAAAATCAAATTACATCGGATCCCATAAAGGAGAATCTCTTCAAGTGCATATCTCTTTATTCACAAGACTTAAACTCGAGATCTTATTTAATGAGAACCGAACTTTTCCATTTAGAATAAGAAAATCATTCTAAAATAGAAATCCCATTAATGTTAAACCTGAATCTCCTTGATTGATGAGATGTGTTAATTTGACGTAAACCAAAAACAGTAGTAGTGAATTTGTAGAACTATTATGGGTTAACTCTAGAATATGTAGTAAAAATCACCTAATTTGCAAATAAATCACCAACGTATGATAATGAATTATACTAATCAAGAGTAAATCAAAGATGATGTTTTTAATAAGTGGAATTTTAACTAAGAAAATAATTTAGGAACAAACTTTTTGTATTATATTTTAAGATAATTTTTTGATACTATCTTTTGATACAACTTTACATGTTATTTAAATTATTGTCTTTTTTTATTTATTTGTGATTTATAATATTAAGTACATCATTTGTTTAATAATATATAAAAATTATATAAAAATATTGTATAAAAATATTATCCTTATATTACTACCCTTTTAACCTTGGCTATTTCTCCTATATTCTAGTTGTAATAATAACAATAATAACTATAAATATTAATGTTTATTGACCAGATTTTTAAAAATTATAAAGAAAAACACCCTTAAATTACATTATTTCGTTAAAACTTTTAAAA